AGTAAGTGTTTTGTTATCAATTAAGTGATTTTCCTAGCTGTCAAACTAAGAACTAACCTAAATTCGATGCTTTGCTGAGTCAAGTAAAATTATGTAGTAAATCAACTAAGTAGAAAGCAAAAGTGCATCAGTTACCTCAGGCGAACTACTACAGCGTATATGTACAGTTAAGTACTTACAGATGAACGAAAGATTGTGTTTTTTTCATATTAATAATTACTATTTACGTTGCATTTAATCTGTCAATAACGCTTATCAGCGTATTTTAAGTGTGTAATCTGACATATTATTACCTTGACCCCTATATATTGCAGTCTAATATTTGGTGATCCAGAACATTTGAGATTTTGTATTTAACCAAAACAGTTAAAAAGCATACTATTTTGTCACGTTATTTATATTTTTTACAATTCTAGTCCATTCTCTACGTTTATGATAAGAGTCATAAACAAAGAAACTAAAAGAATCTATTTTTCAATGAGCAAAAATATATAGGTCCCACGTATGTTTACATGCATTAGCTTTTTGTGAAAAGTTAGAAAATGGTAAAAGAAAACTTACTTAAGTCGAGTAGAATATGACACTAAACTTTTGATATACAGGTTCAATAGATATACAGTTCCTAATAGACAAAAAAATAAGCATATCACGTATCAACAGAAACAACGATCTCAGTTCTATATAAGATGATTACTATAGTATAATGCTGACAAAATTTGTCAATTATATAACATACAAAATAATGTAAATCGTTTACCGAACTATAAATGTCTAAAGAAAGAGGATATGGTAAAGACACTCTACTAAATATAGTTAAATACGTCCGTCATTTCATCTATTACAGGCGAAAGAGAAAAAGAGAAACATTGATATTTCTTAATAAATAATAAAGTAAAACTTTTTCTAAAGTTACGGTGAAGTGATGTTTAAAAATTTATTTCTCATCAATGATCGAGGTTGAAAAAACAATATTTTTCATTTTTAGGAAATAAGTAAGGCAATTTTGTTCCAATAATTCATATATACGTGAATATTTGCACGGAATGTATCTTTTTTTCTCAGTAATATCAAGCATTCATCATCATCTTTTCACATCGCATCATTCTTATATCCAGGTTGATCTACCAAAGATAATTTTTGCACGAGGTAACCCAAAATAAAAGAAAAGAAATATTTTGCTTGACAGAAAACAATTAATAATTTTTTAAATAGAAAAAACAATTTGTATTCTTCATAAAGATAGAACATCATGAAAACGCAAAAAAAAAAGTTTAATATGTTTTGTGACCGTAATACACGCTAATTTCATATAGATTTTCTTCACATTTTATCATTTCCATGCTAAGCGAGAGTCTATCTTATTATTCTTTTGCTTTCTCCTGTTTATTTTACCATAAAAAAAAAAAATGACTTATATTTCTCTAGATGGATAAGAATTTTAAAAGCTTGGCTAATGAATGAACTTGTGAATTCATAATGTTATCGCTTTCCTCCCATTTTCACTTCACTCTACTCATTGCTATTTCTCTTCATTTTTTATGTTAACAAGAAACTGGTATTGCCTGCCCTCATTGTCAAATAAAGGAACATTTTTACATACTACTTTGGATGATTGACTTTTACTTTCGAAAGTTTTTATCAGTTCATTGAAAAGTAGAAAGATTAATATTTATCAGAAAAAAATACTATATTTTTTGAAGTTGGAAAACAAGATAAAATGATAATTTAATTATTTTATCATCATGTTTGATATAAGTTGTGTAAGAGCTATAAATGTTATCGTGAAAATAATTCTTATGGATATTTATATATACGACGGATGAGTACAATAGATCTATGGGTACTTAAAATTACTCGGAAAATTGTATGAGAAAAATGAAGAGTAGCAATTTTTGTTACTCGATATCCGATTCGTACACGAGAAAAGTCGTACTCACCCAGCTTTGGTATGAAAATAATTGGTTTATTTTAACTAGTTTCAAAAAGTAATGTTAGAGCGTCGTTTGAATTTCAAAAACTTCAGAATAAGGGATTAAAATACGATTCAAAATACTCAAAAGTTTGATTTAGTCTGTCTAATCTTGCAAAGTATCTCAAAAACATTACCAGGAAAGTGAGAGAACGTTAAATATTTTTACAAACTCTGGCTTAAAATATAGTTGACAAAAATACCAACTAAATAATGGTCAAAGAAATCTCTTCGTAGATATATAATTGTTCACATTAACTCGACTTAGATTTTCTCTTTGCATAAACTATTAAATATCTTATTGTACTAATGTAGTAAAATAAATGAACAAATTTCTTACCGATTGGTCGGTACGTATTTTTCTTTTTTACTTTTTAAGATTAAATTGTAAAATAATATTTTATATCATCCATTTCATAAATGATCAAGTAAAATGAAATAAATAGATAGATACTCATCACTCCTGTTGTCAGTTTATAATTCACTATTATTTCAATAAAATAAGTATATCTTTTTCTGTCCTAGAATGAGTGTGACGACATATACGCTACAGTTAACTCATAATAACAATGGTTGATACACTGACGGTTATAATAATTGTAGACTAAATACTTCTTAGAGTATCTATTCTTTATTAGAGAAGAAAACTAGAAAAATTTTTTTCCTCTTTTTTTTATTTCCTAAATTTTCTCTATAAGTCATCTCTTTCTCTCTCTTTCTCTTTTATGTTACGTGTCTGGAAAACAAAATCAGAGAAAGATTTTAGAAGAAGACGAAGAATATGGCTTGCTTGTGTAAATTGATCAGACTTTCAAATCAATTCACACATTAATTAATAAAGAAAAGTTGGAGTGTTCATTTGTCATACATATACCTTCGTATAGCGTATATACGCCTGGAAAAAAATAGTTGCACACCGGTTTCTCAAGATATTTTCCTTATAAAGATATACTTTTACAAAAATAATCCCATATTCTGATAGAGCTCGAAATTCTCTATCATCCTGTACTTTGTCTACCTTAAAGTGCATTTGTTTGCCGATAAATTCTTCAAATATTTGCAATATACTCTCGCCATCACATACAGCAAGACATTATTGGTTGTCTAGTAGCCACATAAGATACATGGTTTATTATCTACCTGTCAAATCTGATCTTAATACTATTAAGAGTGTGTGGTCTTGGATAAATCACTATGTACAGAGATATCCTAATTTCCAATAAAACTTGGAAAATATTGCGATAAATCATAGAATGCAATACCGAGATGTGTGATACGTGGGTACATTGAAAATATTTGAAGAATTTATTGGCAAACAAATGTACTTTACGGCAGTCAATGTACAAGGTGATAGAGGGTTTCAAGCGCTATCAGAGTATGTAATTACTTTTGTAAAACGGTATCTCCATATTCATAAGAACTTTAAAAAACGAATGAACAAGAAAGAAAAAATGGAATTTGTGAGAATCTCAGGATGAGGGTGTGTTCATTGTACTCGAAATATTTTTCAGCAAATAAGTGCAAACCTAGAACATTTATATACAATGTGACAGAGAATTTAATTTCGAGTGCTATCAGAATACGGGATTATTTTTGTAAAAGTATATATTCATAAGGAAAATATCTTGAAAAAACTGGGTACAACTATTTTTTTCCAGGCGTATATATGTTTTTACGTTATAATGAATTCTACTAATCGATGTCAGGCGATCATACAGTCAACTTGGGGTTATTCTGACTTGAAACATAAGGAACGAAGAAAGATAGAAAGAACGAATACTACACCTTGTAACTGCCGTTATTGTGATTGTTTCTCAGTTTTAAGTATCTCGATCTTTGCTCTACAGCTGACAACCTGCGAAGATGTCTCTTTACTGATCATCAACCGTAGTAAGCTCATCTGACGCATTTCTTTCACATAAATGCTTGAGCTCACTCTACACACTAACCATATATTCACTTTAGAGATATTGTACTGTACATTACAGAGTAGTAAGAATACTATCGGATGGATGACTCAAAGTTCGTTCAAATAATGAGTTTGCTCAAGATTCTTACACAACTAGGTGGCGTTCAGATTCGAACATTGTATCTTTGAGGGATATGACAGCGAGAGAGAGAAAGAGAGATATAATCGATCTATATCTTGGGGACGTTTTCGATATAGCACAAACTAACAGCCATCATTATTCTATGTATATCTATAGTTTGTTATTTAATTATGATCTTCGATAATAACATAAAAATGACAGCAAAAAAATGTCTGTCGTCTATCCTATTTTTTTCTCGTTATTTGTGCAATTATGAAACGACGATTTAGCGCCATTATTTGCGTTTTATAATTATTATGCAGATAATAATTAAATAAAAGAAGTGCGCAGAAAAACAAATGATTATTTTCGTATAACAAAGCTAATAGTCTCGCGTATATAGAGAAAACAAAAAATAACACAAATATAAGAGAAAACAAAGGAAGAAAGATTTCTGTCTAATAAAAGTTGATTGATCACATGTAGAATGTCTACGACAAATTTCAACATGACCTAAATATTTATATTTACACCTCCCACTGTCTCTATTGTTTAGAGTAAAAACAAAGTTCGTTGAATTATAGAGAATAATATAACATATATATATATATATATATAGAATGCTTTTTTTAACAATTCATACCTTTTATTTGCATGAGAAGTATATTATTAGAATCTTAACTTTCTTTCTTATAAGTAAGACTGCCTTGATATATTTCTAAATATAATATACAGTTGTTTAGAAATGAATTATATGTATTACCATTTATTATCAGAAATTTTGTATATAAAAACTATCTCTTTTTACAAACATGAAAAAAAAATGATTGTATGTACTACCATTTGTAAAATTATAGAAAAAAAAAAATAAGAAAATTGCATTTGTTCGACTAGAAAAAAAAGTCATTATCTGACATTTAAATAAATTAATAGTTATCATACTACGTTCGACAGAAGTTATTCCTTAAAATAAGAACAGTGTAATTAACAAAGAGCAAATATTACATGTTACGTACCTCATTTTCAATATTTTCTAATTCTTCTCCATTATCTACACATCGTCCACATAGGGTAATAGTAGTTTTAAAATTTGCTCGTTTTTCAATTGTCAATATTACATTTTCATTAAACATACCAACTTTTTTTGGACGAAATTTACATGTCAATTTAACAAATGATTTTTCTCTAAATAGAGACACAAAGTAGAATTTTATACAACAAAAATAACTTGAGTGTATACCTTATTGAAGCACGACGAACGCTAATATAGAATGGTGCATGGGGTTCGGTTATATCAACCTATATAGAAGACAACATCGTTTAGGAAATAGAAAATAGCTATTAAAATATGAGAAAAGATACTTACTTCACATCCGTCTGTTCTACTATAATTTTTGATTGTTAATTTTAAACTTTTCGTATTTAGAGAATTAAATTGAACGGTACCAAAATTAAGTACATTTTGTTCAATACCAAGTTGATTAGTCGTATCTCTTAAGATTTTAAAAGAACGGTAAATAAGACTAACTCAAATAGAAAACGTAAATAATTCTTACAAAATAGCATCTAATTGTCGATGTGTTGAACTTGTCGATGTTAAATCACCATCACTTTGTGAGATTGATGAAGTACCAGATACGTGCTAGAAGATAAAAACTTCTGAATATTAAAACTTTGTTTGTCTAAAACTCAAGAACTCACTGAACATGTTAAACTATCGTTAGACCCATCAGAATCAACGATATTATTGATTACATTATTATTTTGTAATAATACTGGTACGGCAGACATTGTCGGTTCAAACTGAATATAAATTGGAAATGATTTTTTATTACAAAATGGTTTCATTGTTGAAATTAACGATCTAGAAAAGTAAAGTAGTCATTGTTTTTTAATTATCGCAGAAAAAAAAGATGCATCCGTACGTTGTGAAGGATGATGATTTAGTTCGTGGATGATATTTGATGAGTAAAGTTTTAGTTTGTGATGGTTGTAACAGACAACTGTCTGGTTGAATTTCGAACATATGCATAACATCTTTTGGAAACATAAAATCAAATGAACCGGCTAAATTACCAACATTCGCTACGACCAAATTAAATTCACCAGTCATGGATGATGACACGAATAATTTACACGGCTAAAACAATGTACATGTTTGAATAAAAATGGCAAATTTTTGAAAAAGAACCTGACCTGCTTTGATACAAGTTCTAATTCAGCACGACCAACAAAACCAAGCAATTTCAGTTTTTCTAAAATTGTTGGTTGATATTCTTCATCGAGAATTATTTGTATTTCAGCTTTTAATCGACAACTTTTATCTTAAAAAAAAAAATAGTGAAATAAAATAATCATTTTATGTCTTACTTAGATGAATGATGAAGTACTAACTGGAAGTCAATGGTCTTGAACGACATACAATATTAATTAATTGTTCTTCATCTTGACTTTCAAGTGTAAGTTGTTGTTCATTCTCAACACTATTTGACGTAAAGCTAAATTCACCACAGTTTTCTTCCGATTGATTCTAAAAGTAGAGATAATGTATTTGCTTTTGTCTAGTATATCTGTTTACTATACATTAGCTATTTTTATTCGTAATGGTAATGGCAAACTGGATCGATTGCGAACACGAAATGATTTTGATGAAATTGCACCACCAACGATAGCATCAAAAGTCAATAACGATGTTGATACCGAAAATAAGAATGTCAAAAGTTCAGTAGATAGTCAGCAAGGAGTTAATTAACATACTTCTAGTTTAACTGCATGACAAACACCCACAACAGTGACAACACTGGATGTATTTGGCGATGTACACATATTACAACGAACGTATAATTTTGCTAAATAATTACCAACAATTTTTGGCGTAAACAGAATCTATTTGATGATGATAAAAATAATATGCTCTAATAAAAACAAATTATATTTTAGCCGACAATTGTTTACTTTTGCTTGTATACAATCACCAGGTAATACGGAGTATTTTGAGTCTTTTAATACAAATGGTGAGTCAGTCGGTGGTTCAATGTTTTTATCATCAACAACGATATCCCATGTGTAAACAGTGACCGTACACTAAATACACATAAAATAGAATATTTCTTGCATACACTTTTAACTATATTCAAGTGTTTGTGATTACCGTGTTGCCTACTGCACCATTATTCGTAATTGGAACGTCAATCACAACTGTTTGACTAGGATAACAAGGTTTTGCTACAATTGTTGCTGTTGGTGTGCATAGCCACCAATGTTCATGTGTGAGAGATGCTTAAAAAGATAATTAGATTGATAATTAGATAAACCTAATCTTTTTGATTCCTTTCAAATAACTACCTGAACGATGTGTGTTTGTCGAATTATAAAATCTCCAAAAAACATAAACTTAGTCAATATTAAACTAAAGCTGCCATTCTTACTTATCATCATTTGATCCGCTACTACTCGTTGAACGATTGGTGATATTGCACTGATTGTAATGCTGTTGAGAAACACTTGCGATCATTGTACTACTCGTAGAACGTGTACGCAATCTGTTATTATTATCACTAAACAACAGCACTGGTGGTGGTGGTAGACATTCCAGATGGGATGGAGTAGGATTGGGTGGATAACCGTACATTGCCTGATAAGTCACAATTGGATAAAAAACAGGCGATTGTTGAGAATGAGAAGAGGTTGTAACTGGCCAAGCTTGATTTTGTAGTGGTTGTGGAGGCGAAACGATCGATTGATAAGAATAGGCTGATGATGATACATGTGAAGGAGTTTTGGTAGCCAATAATCGTGTTGGTGGTGATATTATTGAAGTTTGAGTTTCTGTATTAACCGTGGAAATATCACATTCTTGTTTATTATCATGAATGGATAAAATTGATAAACTGTCCGATAAATCAAAACTATGATGTTGTGTTTGTTTTGATTCGAACAATTCAGATGCTGTGGCAATTGTTGATGCTTTTGTATCAGCACATGTTTCTTGCTTATCGAACAGAGATCGACTGATCTAGACACACACCTGATATGAATTACATTGCTAGTATTGCAAAATATTGTTTACCTCGGATTTAGACTGTTTCACCGCATGACCCATAAATTTTGGTTTTTTGACAACAGTGTTACATCGTTCGTTGAACGGTGAATCGTCCTGACGTCGAAGGCTTAGCACGCCCGTTGATTTATTGTTTTTGCTAAGTACTTCATTCGATGACAAACATTTGAGTTGCTGGTCATTATCTATCAAGCGGTTGTTTACCGAGATAGATTCTGCAACAACCAAAAAAAAATCCCTAAAAACCTGGAAGCCAGTTAATAAATAAGAAAAAAATACGTACCATTTGGAAATAAAGCATTTAACATTTCATCGGGTGTCGATGATTTTGCCATAAAATATGTTGTTGTTGAAAACCCTGGACTTTCTATTATCTTTTCGTTCGATGACCACAGATGATCAGTATGTGTTGTTACATCAGCAAGAGCTGAATTTGAAAATGGCACTAATGGATCTTCACGAGCGAAACGTTCGCCTTCTTTTAGAAAAAAATCTTAAAATAAAAAAAGTTTAGTCCGAGGCTAATAACACATAATTTTATAGTATTACCTTCTGATGTTGATTTGAAATTAAATTCGTTTTCATTCGATAATGATTGATCTGTTAAATTAAGCCATGAGGAATTCATTTCTGATAATTAGAAAATTGATGTTTATCTAAAACTAAGAACGAAAGTAATACTGTTCACTCTTTTAAATTGTTTCCCAATAAACTCTTAAAGTAATCAACTTTTGATGAAACATAAAATTTTTTATACATTTCTATTATTGCCTGCAATTCTGATTGGATTCTGTTTTCGATTGTATCGAAAAACGATCTTTCATTTTCAATAACCGTTTGTATTTGTTACGTTAATTCAGAGCTGGACAACTCAGCTTCGGAGTTGAGCGTCTTTTTTTACGGAGTTCGAGTTTGCTTTTTAAACGACCGGAGTTGAATTGATGATAGATTTTATCAACTGCAATTCCGAAACTCCGGTTACATCAGCTCCTGTGGAGCGTGTTTTTTTACAATCAGGTTTTTGGTTTCGATCTCGTCGTAGTAGTATGACAAAGAATATGCTTAAGTAATTTTGATGTATTATAATGATTTTTTGTGTGCATACTATTATAAAAGGACACAAGACCGTTATACGGATGAATTAAAAAACAGGAAAGAAAAAGAACAGATAGATTTTAACTCGGAGATGGAGTTTTTGGAGTTCTTAGCGGGGGTGGAGTTGTACCTAGCGGAGTTGGCCAGCTCTGCGTTAGTTGCTATCCATGGATGATACTAAATCATGTTTACAATTTGTAGGACGCATCCGTTGGTGTCGGAACCAACGCCGTCCGAGTAACACTTATTTTTTGAGGATTTACACGTTGTTTTTGTCAAACTTTTTATTGAATTAAACATTCGCTAGTTAATCAAAGCTCAAATCTGTTGAATACTCGACCATCAGATTCTCGTACAATTAGAGTACGAAAAGATGCAACATATTACTTGACTCAACAATTCCAATTCTATATCCCATCGGCAAAATACTTCTATTGTTATATTGCCGAAAACTCTTCATGGTTATAAACTGTTAGTAAATACAAACATGTTTCATTTTCTAACAATAATTTGATACAACTGAAAAACAGAATGCAACAAACGCAGAATCTCATACATTAAGATATTATATATTCAAATGATATTACGAGGACGTATGTGAGAAAAAATAATAATGTTTTTCATCATTTATTGTTTCTACTGACGTTTTGGCCAAGGAAGGGCAGTACATGTCACTCCCCGTGGAACCTCTGTTTTTTCTCACTACTACTATTCATACGAGAAAAACTAGCGAAAAAAATTTTTTTTCTGTCCCACTCTCTTTGTGAAGAATCCTGACTACGCCACTGCTTGTTCAAACAAATTTCCTTGAAAAGAAAGGATACCAAATGTATCATCTCTGTGGTGGTGGTGCACAATCGAAAAAAGTAAACAGGTTCACAAAGCCTAGTGTCAAATATAGCACTAAAATATCTAAACAAGTAAATCATAAATCATAATGGTATGGATGGACAATAGGGCGTCTATCGATATTTGAAAAAAAATCCCATTTTTATCGTCGTCATGTTTCAGACACAAAATGTATCGAAAGCAAGCAAAATGATAGGAGGGAAGATCCATACGGAGTCACCGTATAACTGTATCTTCAGACTTTTGAAAAACCATTTGTTTATCCTACTGAAAAACAACTGATAATTGAAATCTAAAATTATATAGACAAAAATAATTTTTCTTCTAATAAAATTTTTCCAAAGTTGTTTTAGCCATTTTGTTCTAATTTTATTAAAATTCAACATACATAATAATTCAAGGGACAAAAAACTAGAATCAGATTACCTACGGTTTGATAATTTTGATTTCTAGCGAAATTAAATTCAGTAGTTTCCCATTATTTTCCGAATAGAACCATATTCTATTCGTGTTCGTCGTCTGAAATCAGTACAGCTATATCACATAACTCTGCTATCGGAATGTACGTGCGTTACCGTTTCCGCTCTTTGTGTTTGTATTATAGTATTAACAGAAAACAATCTAGAAATATGGGAGACGTTTTACTTTGTAGCTAACAATGTGCTCTTCAAAATCCGCTCTATGATCAGTTTGATTCACCCAATCTTCTATGCCCTGCAATTGAAATACGAATATTCACGAGAAAAATTGTAAACTTACTCTATCTTAATCATAGTGCAAAGAAGATTGAGTAAATCGAACTGATCATAGAGCGGATTTTAAAGAGCACATTGTTAGCTACAAAGTAAAACGTCTCCCATATTTCTACATTGTTTGTTGTAGACATTTAATAGGTCAACAAATTCCATATTGATATAGCAAAAAGCTATAAAGGATATAATCGAATTATAACCTTTTAAGTCGATGATGAATAAATAATGTGTAGTTGTACAATAATCTTTACAAGTGTTCGATAGTTATTCAGTAAGTTATCAAAACGAAATCATAGCTACACTTAACGTTGATATAAGTGCTAGTAAAATTCTTCAAATGTTAAATTAAAAAACTACTTAAAGGAGGCTGCGTATGATTGCTAATACAATGTAAAAAATAATCAAAGCGACTTTTGTTGTTCGATGTAGCGCACCAACGAAAGATTTTTTATGTTGTCTATAGACAATATCAAAATCTAGTCGACCAAATTACTACATAAGAATCCATACCGTAGATGCCAATTGACGGATCATATATAACACTCAAATCAATGTGTTCTTGTATACCAACATCAAAATTTGCTTTATGCAGTTCTTTAATTTGTAAACCTTTTTCGAATATTTCTTTAGCTTTTCTCCATGTACCGTACAAAATACACCACAATTTTTATTACGGTGGATACCAAATGAACATACCATATATCTTGCCTTTGAAAATAGTGGATTTTGATCTATTAGTTGTTCCAATACATTCATTACTAGCTCATGTTAGACACCCATCGCTTCTACCAACACAAATATTCAAACATTATTTTCGTATATGTAAATCACGCATTTCATTCTTCGATTGATCTTTATCCCTTTTTTTATCACACGTTCACCATTATTACTAGCTATTGTTACACAAGTTGCAACAACTTCTCTCTTAACTACTGTTAGTTATCTAAAATACAGTCGCTAAAGCTACATTCCCAAATCTGGTATATACTACAATTGTAACATTTATTAGACCGTCACATCAAATTTTTATGATAGTTTTGGTGAAACAAACATGTATAAAACCGGAGATAAAAGAAACACAAACGTGCATAAAACCACAATAAAATAGCAAAAAGCTTTGTTTTTTGCATAATTCTTAATTCTAAGTAATATAGAACGAAAAATAACGTTCGAGAAAAACAATGAGAAGGAAATTGTATCCTTCTCCTAGATTTTCGGACGAATAGAATTTCGAATAAAGTTTAATTACGCTACAGTAATATTGAGTGTAACAAGATTTCATAATTAGGAAATTATAAGAAAAGAAAAAAATGGGATTCACACGCACACAAAATTCATTTAACTAATTGAGAAATAGAGAGGAACTGAAGACTAAACCACGCGTTTATGTCTCATTTTTTTGCTATTCCTACTACATGAGGTGCCATAAGAAATGTTATCCCATTTGCATAGAACAGTTGTTGTGAAAATTCGGTGAACTTTGCACGTTCGATATTTTCTGGGATGCTTCGTATTAGTGACATACCATAGAATAATTTGTAAAACGGTGTAAATAATGCTTGAATAAGCGCAATAATGATATTTTCTGAGCGAATATTTTCCAAATAAAGAAATAAACCGCCCTAAAACGAATAGAAACCTTTTGAACCATTTTCAGAGAAAAATTATATTGCGTTACCGGTTTCAAAATTCGTCGAACTTCTTGGCACACTTGATCAACATCTTTTACACATGATAATGTCAACGTACTAACAACAGCATCCACTTGTGATTCACGAATAACTGAGATATTTTCTGCATTGCCCACTAATAATTCAGGACATGTTACATGACGATTTTTTTTCAGTGTATCAGTTAAATAACTTTCCCATTCACGATTGGGATCTACACCTACCACTTCAATAACTGAACAAAAAAAGAATTTTTCTATGTTTCTAATGTTCGCTAATGTCACTGTTGAAATACTCACTATCTCTAGGATAAAAGGGGAAATTAGCACCAGATCCGACACCAATTTCCACAACATTCAGTTTAGCACTATTTGATGATTTAATCGTTTCAAGTTGTGAAAATAATTTTTCTTTATGTGCACGTAATACTTTGTTGTATTCTGATACATACTGCGCAGTGGAATACATATAAAATCGTTGATAAAGTACTGGTGAAAGTTTGTAAATTGTATAAGAGCCAACGCATGCAACAGAAACAACTGCAATCTCAGTCCATGGCCAATTCTTGTATTCTTTACGGAATGGTGCAATCAAATTTGATACTGTTTCACGTACAAAGGTACCGAATGTTGATGTAGACGATGATGGCATTAACAGAGTACCATGAGTTGGTGAAATTGGTGATATGCGAAAGGCTCCAACTGACATTTTTTAGCTTTTATGAGTGGTACATATGCAATCTAAAAGGAAGGCGTCGTGTTGATAGAAAGAATGCATCTAAATAAATCATCAGTTATAAGAAGTTACATCATGAAAATGCTATAAGCAAAAATTCCCCGAGTGTATACTTTATAAATCATAGACTAAAAAATACACGTTTACGTTACACTATCGGCTCTAACCTTAGATTTGATGTTCAAAAGTAGAAAAAAACATAATTGTACACGCCAAATGTTCGCGAGCAGTACAAGATTATCTGTTAGATTGTGGGATGCTCCCAATCACTAATAATTGATCAAGTGTATATGAAGTATTATTTTACAAACAATAGAATAATAGAACATGAGAGAAGACGTCATGGAAAGAAAAGGAAAGATGTATTCTTTCCTATTTCGACTCTAATAGTGTGTTTTATCGTCTGTCGATTAAATAGAACATTATGTATATCAATTAAAGAAAGAACAAGACTATTAAATGAACACAATAGTGGAGCCTTAAAATATAATAATGAATTACATCCTCACGTTTCTACTAAGAACTGTACTAGCATTATGATTATCCCCTTAATGACTAGTTATGAAAATCAAAATTTTCTGAACTCCTTTTAAGAGATCCAATAAAAAAATCGACTGACAAAATGAGTTAAAAATTATCTTTCTTACTTTCAAATTGAAAGTGTATCTAGAGAAGAAATCAATTTTCTCACAAATTTCCTCCTTTCTATAATTTTCACACTAATTAAAAATTTTAAAAATATCGCATAACTGAACAAATAAAAACGTGAACTATCTATTGTGCTGATGAAATGCTAAGAAAGGCACATTGCGTGTATAGCGTTGCATATCTTAATAGAATGGAACCAGTTGTTTTATGCAACAATTTTTTGCCTGCCTCCACCAGAACCTTTGTTCCACATTTCAACGGTTTTATCAGTCATAATATGTCTACATAATTACCGTCACTGATCGTGTAGAATAAACTCTAATTAAGTTAAAAGGCTTTTCAATACTCGTAAAGTAAACACATGCAAAAAAACGATAATTTGTATGATGCCATAAGAATAAATTTGTATCGATAACTATCTGTCTCTTCGTAACCATTATATAAACAAAAACAAAAATCAATAAAACAAAAATATTACACATCTTGAAGTTAAAATGAAATGCTTGATTACAATATAAATCTCATAGAATATATAGCTTGCATAAAAGTATAAGTGCGATTAACTTATGATAACAAATGTAAAATTGTCTCTATATTATAATTCTTCTAATTGTTGTTGTTGTTGTGATTGTTTTTCAAATAGTTGAGAAAATGAAGAGCCAATTTCTTTCAATATATCTGCACTTAACATAGAACGTCCTAATTTTTCGAATACATGTTGTGATGATAATCGAACAAGCGTGGACGCTGCATAACATGCAACTTGAGCGGGATTTAGTGGATTTGATTTTGTTCTCAATGTATCTAATTTATCTTTATTTTTCACTGACCAAAAGTAAAATGTGCCTAACGCACCGGATAATAGATCGCCTTGTCCACCACATCTTCTTGGACTAAAAAATTAAAATAAATCTATGAACGAATTCTATTTTTAGTAAAAATGTATACCTTCCATCAACGCTACATTGTACTGCTTCTAATTGTTGTTCTGACATATGTGGTGAACATATAATATCCTGATGTCCTTTCATCAATACATTCACCTGTAATTTATTGGCTAATTGTTGAACAGCCTGCTTTTTATCCGAATCATCTACTTGAATTGATAATTTTTCCGATAATCGTTTAAACTCAGCTACATTTGGTGTTAAAATACAATTTGGATAACCTTTAATTAAATCTGGTTGTTCTGTTATCAAATGTAAACCATCAGCATCAATAACAATTGGAATTTGTTGTTTTTGTTTTTTAATTTCTTCAATAACATGTGTTACATTTTTTAAAACATTTTTTTCACGTCCAAGACCTGGTCCAATAATCAGAGAATGCAAACGTGGTAGCCATTGTTGAATTTCATCTTTAAATTTATCGGCATCTAATATTGGATGAACGATGAGATCGGGAGAATAATTTTTTATTGTTACCGATGCACCATCAGTACAAAATACATGAATTAGGTCAGCTAAAGATGGAAAAAAAGAAAAAAAAAATTACAAGATTTGTAGACGTAGGAAAAGTCTGTCCTTACCACCGGTACGAAATGCAGCCATAGCAGAAAAATATGGTGCTCCCGTATACTCTTTCGATCCACCAATAACTCCTATTCTTCCACCTGCTTCTCCTTTGTGGCTAGTGTAAACTAAAGGAGGCACACACGCTTTGAATGCTTGTAATAATTGGACATGTTGTGAGCCAACAGCCATAACTAATCTGCAAAATAAAAATTCTAATTTTTTATTAAGAAATCAACCTGTTTTTATTATCTTACACATCACTAATACAGTATTATATCAAACTCATCTGTTCTACTTAAAATTTTTATGCATTTTCTTTCGATACGCATGTCGTAGACGAAATCGACATTTCAGACGGACTGTATACTTTGGTCAACGTTTACTTATTTTATTGAATAATAATAATAATCATTACGATGAAAATATACGCTTCAATTACTACTGTATTGCAACATGTATTTATACATCAATTAACAATAACAAGAAAAAGAAATACATTTTTGTTTGAGAAAAAGAAAACCTTCAAATAAGAATTGAATAGAACAGATGTGGTCACGAATCGCTGTAGTCCACTACAAGAAAAGTTTCATGATATAAATGGAGATGAAAGTATTGTGAGCGATCTCCTGACAAAACATTCTTCTTGAAACCAATATTTGTTCATTTGTTTTGAGAAAGTTTTTCCCTAGCACTAAAACAACGGATAGAAAACCTGCGTGATAGTAAAAATTTATCTTGTACACATTTCTGGAGTAGAAAGTACGAATTTTTCAGTTCACTAAAGTTTTGCAAGTATAGTTAGCTCAATAAAAACGAAAAAAAAAGTCAAAAAAGAAGAAAATATAACAAAATTTGTTTTAGAAACATGGATGATATTTTTAATAGCCACTAGTACAAAAATAAGATAGAAGAAACTTGTAAAAAGATTTGGTAGTAGTATTTTTTTTGAGAACTAGTAAACAACAAAAAAAAAAATTATCACAACGCATATCTTTTACTCAAGAAAACTTTATACATTCCATTAGCGTTAGATCCATTGTTTCTATTCTATACACACCGAATAAATGTAAAATATATATCAGTTTATAATAAATACAAAAATTTTGATTAGCACAAAAGAGCACATGCAATGGAAACAAAAAATAGAAACAAACATCGTTAGGCTTGATCACTCGGTAGTTCACAAGTGGATTTTTTAAAAATAAAATAATCCATAGTATATTTTGATTATTAACTAAACAATTAACTTTTTATTTGAGCAAAAAAAAATATATATATAGAGCGAGAGAGAGAAAGAAAAAAATATGCATATACACTGTTCTATATAATTGATATAAATAATTTTGACAAAGAGAATATCACCGAGTAAAAAGGAATAAATTGCATAAACATATTAGTTTCACATAAACATTGTTAAAATTATCTTAATCTATTTTCGATAAAGTATCACTCATTGTTGAATCAACTTTCAACAAGTTTATAAACATGATATTGTGGACCTGCTGAATCAAACGTGGCAATTTCAAAAACATAAGCAATACATAATAATAATCGTTGAGTATCACGACATTTGACAACTTGTAATACGGTAAAATTTTCTAAAACACTATTCATTAGAGAATAAGTTGGTAATGATCGTAGTTTTTGTATAAATTGTACCATATAATCACATAATGATGAACGTTCAAATCGATAGAAATAATGTTCTAGACCATTATTGACATGTTTTTGTGTTGATTCAGTTGTTTCAACTTTTTCTAATACTTGTTTACCAAATGAACAAAGTCTTGTTGAAACATGAATACCATAATTAAAACCTGTACTATCAAATATATAAGATGTATAAAATGTTTCTTTTTCTTTCAATTTTATATCTGAACGTAAAAAATTAACATCAGCCCAAAATTTAATTAAATAAAATTGTCCTGTAGGATTTTGTTCAAATAAATCTTTTAGACCATCATGCGATGGAAATTTATCCCATATTTGATGAATGGCAATTTTTTCAAATGGTTGTACATTTTTAAATTGTAAATCGTTTGAATTTAAATGAATTATATTATGATGATGTATTACAGCTTGTTGTTCTTGTGTTTGATACGAAGTCGAATAATTACATTCTTGTATAGAATTTGATCTTTTGATTTCAACGAATGCATTTATTTCATATAAACGAAAATGTTCATCACCAATGAAAGCTTGACTAAGATATGATGGACTCGATGACGAAGGAAAAAGTGATGATGAAGTAGATGAGCACGCGGACGATGGTGGTAAAGAAGCTGACGAACGAGAAGAGGAACAACGTGGATTAGATGGAGATGCTGCGGTGGTCACATTTAAACAGGGACTTGATGAACAACTTGATAAAAGATTTGTTGTTGTTACGGGATTATTTGGACGAAGCACCGATGTATCTAAACACATTCAAAAAATAATAAAGTCAACAATATTCAAATAAGAGATATTTTACCTAGATATTGTCCGGTTTCAATTATCGATGTAAATAATGACGTCGTTATTGGTTGAATTGTTACTCTATTATTATTTCGTTCATTAAACTGAGTTCTACTATGCTCAGTTTGTCTCGATGACATTGTAGTCTGATTCAATGAGATATCAAGTAAATTATTTTTCGCTAAGATTGATGATTGTTGTGACAAAACAACAACTGATGGTTGGAGACGATTTGTTATTAATGTGTTTGCATCTGGCGAAGTTTTAGGCGATATGGATGCAGAAGACGGTGAAGATACGGATGAAAAGTGGTTCACAATAGGACCACATTTTGTCGTCTCGCTTGTTTTAATTTGAGCATGAAGTGGATGAAGAATATTATTGATGTGTAATGGAATCTCATTATGTGCATTTGTTGAGATTGACATTGATACAACGTTACTCGTTTGAACCAGAGATACTGACTTATTCAATGGACGATGTTTAGGTGATTTATAATTATTGTCATGTGGCTGCTGCTTACCATTCTGTTCTATTTTTTCAACTTTTTGTATTACAGGCATTTGTACTAAAGGTTTTTGAGATGGAGATTCGTCTTCTTCATCATCTCTACCACTTTTATTATTATTATCGTCTACATTCATCGATACAATTTCAGCAGACGTATACCGTTTTAATCTATCGAGTATCATTTGTTGAGCTTCTTTATTGCTTCGTAACAGCTGCAATTCTTTTGAACGACGTTTGGCGAGCACTTGAAGATGTGATGACACTTGTTTACGTGTACGTGTTTTTCCCGTTCGGATTTTGATATAACGAGCTATTAATTCATTACGTCCATACATTTTTCCTAGAACAATATATTAAAAAATATGTGAATAGGCTAATTTAATAATCACTACAGAATCTCTTGTTTACCTTCGTCAGTTAAGATAATTTTACGTCTACCACATGGTGGATAGATGGCTAATGCTTCCAGAAAACTCTGTTCAATATCAGCACTCCAAATTCCTTCAGCTTCGTCGGCAGTAATACCAAGAAGTGTTCCATTTACATTATCAAGGCATTTCTTCGTATCAAAATTTATCAAGCCATGTGAGTCTGGACTATTTTGATCATCTGTCGATGAATCTGATCCTTTTTCATCCGATGATGTTTCCATTTTGGATATAACATTTATCATGCATGGTATTTGATCAGAATTGACCATTTCGTTACATCAATATGAATATAATTGAATAAATAGGTTTACAATCTGGAGAAGGCCGATCATATCCTCTCATTATCTAGAATGAATAGATAAATATCATGTTTTGTCGTACAAATCATTTTTGAATGTTATTTGTCGGCTACGTGGGTTCTTCCTCTTAACCTTTCAGAGGTTACAAAATAGCTTTTTTCAAACTAAGCAAATTAATTATTAGCTCATTTGATTTACATTCTGTTTCCGTTAATGCGGTAGCTACACTCGTCTCATTTTTTCTGTACGCATTCAATTTGAGCAGAATTTTCTTCAAAAACAAAACTTATTGCCTCTCAGCTTATCCTTTGCACCTGTCAGACCATGTGTGACCATATAAAAGTCAGAGGTTTATTTAATTGATACGGCAAGGTGTAAAAAGTGAATGGAGACACTCCCAGTCGATAACTAAAAGTATTTTTTCTTTTCTATATCGCTGAAAGCTTATAATAAATTTTCAGGTTTCGTCGCTAAAAAAAAGTTTCACATCACTTCTGTGACAAAATTGTTTATGTCCGCTCTTTTCTAAATTTCAGATCAGCGCTATATCTCTGTTGGCAAGAGGCTTATCGATTTATAACAGCCCATCAGTATTAACGACAAGCGAAAGTAAACCGATTAATAATGAAAAAACACAATTCTTTTCTTCACTGTAGTGATACAGAAATGAAAAAATAAAAAGGTAGATACTGTTCTTTCACTAGTTGTCGAGTAATAAATTGCATTCAAACTGACGTTTGTTTTTATTACTATTACTAACTCATTATTACGAATTGTGTACAAATACCTGGGGTGTATTCTGACCTATATGGATTAAATAATATGTATATACGTTGGGAAATGGATCTTTTTCTAGTTCCACGCTTGACACATCAAATATAGCTGACGCTCCACGTTTTTCAAACAAAAAATAATCTAGAAATACTAATGATTTTCATGTCAGTAAAAATACTGTTTTCCTACTTGAGCATTACGATTCTTTTTTCTACACTGAATAAATTAAGAGAATTTCTTATCTGTACCATCGACAAAATCGTATATTTATCGTGTATTTTCTGTTAGAAGACTTCAGAAGATTCACAAAGCTAACATAAATGAGGCGCTTTACTAGTACAATGACTAGGAAAACAAAATTTTAGTATTTAACTCATTTCAATTACTTTACAATCTTCTCAGCTTCAGTTTTTGCTCTTGCCAATACAAAAAACATTCTAACGCTAGTGTTCTGTTTGCTGATTTTGTCAAATACATAATAAGGAATGAGTGATGACTCATTCCTTAACCATCTACTGGTTAGCCACCATAAGGAAAATAAAATGAACAAAATCAAACAATATGTGCTACAATATGTTTAAAAGTAAGTGAAGAAAAGGAGAAAAAATATAAAAACAACAAATATCTATATAGTATTATACAATAACAATTGTGAAAACGTAAAATCGTTTTAAAACAGAATTTCGTTGCACCAAAGTTTGTTTTTAGCTTTCCTGCATCGAAACAAAAATTGGGGGATTATATGTATTCAATCAAATGAACGCCAATTGCTTGCCGTTTTTTAGCTTCGCCCTTAATCTGAACTTTGTTGGATTGCTGATTTTGTGTTACACTGTTATTGTGACTATTTTTCAATGTCAGTTTTGATTTTCATTAAAACTTTGATGTTGCTGTTAACGATGATAACATTGTAACTATTTGTTGACTAATAACATTTTTAACTAAGAATAATGGGAAGACTTTTTGTAATAACATTTGTAAATTTGTACAGTACCAATAATTAAATTAATTAGAACTGATTTATTTTCGAGCTTTTCAATCTACTACTTCATAATCAGAAATTTAATGTACAATAAAAACAAAAAGATGTTGACAAAATTGAAAATTGTGCATTTTGAACTCCAAAGTAAATTACTTTAAAAATCTAATTAGTTTAATTATTGCTGTTGTACAACAAATTTACAAATAGTAACATTTTTATTTGTAAGTCACTACTGTTGATGTGACAGTTGTACTCGCTGATGATAGAATGGCATCAGTAATTGATGTAACGTTCCTAGTATCATAACAAAACAATACAAAAAAACAGACAATGATCCGTAACAGAAAGAATAGCTCACAGTTCAAAAATTGATTTTTCCAAACAAAACTCTTCTACACTAAAATACAAAACATAATTTGAAATGTTTTTTCAACATCAAAGTTGAAGAGCAATGTTAACTTTTCACATCCAACTATTCTCGCGCATAATTCATTAGAACTTAGCATTTATTTTGATTTTTTTCACTCTTGTTTCTTTATTGTTTGTTTCATTTAATTTGCGTTTCCTCGCTTATTTTTGTTGACTTAATTTGAATCCTCTTTCATTCATGAATTTGACATCGTTGTCATTTTCTGGATTAATAATAACAATATCATCGACAGAATATTCTTCACCACTTTGCTGATATCAGTGGTGTTTATATTGAGCGAAATGCGCGATTCGATATGATGCAGCCACATTTCCATAAATAACAAAATTTACATGTTTCATTCATTTCTAATTCGATTAATGGACAACATAATTCGTATTTTATATACGCATAAGTATTCATTGCCTAATTCATTATTTTTCTATTTTAAATAACGGCTTGACAGTTAAATTTAACTCATGTGCACCTTTGAAATTTTTAATATGTAATGGTCCACTTTGAAATTTTAATTCCACTCAATAGATAGCACTATCAATGACAGCATCTTTGTTTTATAGTTATTTTGACCTTTCACACGTGTAACAATGAGGTGTTGGAGTGAATGATGTTGTAATAAACAATGACGCCTTTTTGCTACAGTATTTTACTTTTTTTTTACGTTTGTTTTTTTCGTCAACTTGCTACATTTTAGAATCGTTCTATCGCCACAAACCATAGCTTTTCTAGTCGATTTCAGTTGAAATGATTAGTTATCCAAATACTAATCTGAAACAGAAGAAAATTACGCATCATAATTTAGAAAGGCTAGAACGACGAAGCTCTGTATTGAATTTGTCTATTAGTCACTCAAAGTGAAAATGTCCAAATCATTATATAAATAAGGATGAGACCACTATCCGTTACTTGTAATACTGTTACAGTCTTGATTCAAGAGTTATCATTTCTTGAAATAGTAACGGCTATCAAATCACATGAAAGCGCGAGTTCAACTTGATTTCAACTCAAGTGCGAGTTGTTGTTTGGTTTTTAATCAGGTCATTCTGAAGACAGCAACAAATTGTCTACAACAGCAGATTTCCGACACAGCAAAAACGAATTTAATACTTTTTATAATTTCAGAAGTGATGAATAATCACAAATAATATCTGCGTTGCCTTTCGCTCACTATATACCGTAAAGTGGCAAAAATAACATACTTCTGTGGTGAAATAAACGTTTTGAAAAGGTCTGGTCGCATAATTTGACTGAATAAACGTCGAATCGTTATGAGTCATTCTTGTCGCCATCAGTTGATACTTTCACGTGGTTGGTAACCCTCCTTCCCAGTCTTGGAAACCAGAACAGTGTATGTGAATAAGACACGAGGTGCCTTGAGGTCTTTTTGGTACTTTAATGTTAATGTTTTTCCTCTTCTCTTGTGATCGCATCTTAAGTCACGTTCATTTTCATTATCGCAGTTCCATTTATCTGTATCTCCGTTACATATGTAATGAACACACTCAATTTAAGTAACCTCCCCCCCCCGTCCCCTCTCTCAAAAATCGATGATTTTCTTTAAAAAAATCGAAATTGACTTTATTGTTTAGTTGAACACGCTGAAGTCTCCTCTTTCAGAATCTGTGACGCTTTCTAAAAAGAATAGTTTTTGATGGGTTTTTGAGAGATTTTAGATTAAACTTTCCGATTGCTACAGTGATCTTCAAACTTGTTTAGCGTTTCTCTCAGAATATGTTTTGGTACAACAAAAATGCTACTCTTCTTAGACGGATTATCGTGGAACGTTCATTTTTTTATTGTGAAGCTGAGACATAAGTCTAAAAATCTATGGAACCGATTTTTAAATTTCGCTACCTGTTCGGAGAAAACTGAAAAATACTATCTCGGATTTCAGAGATTTTCGACTTGAAATTTGTGCAAAAATGAACAAAAGGGAAATTCAAAAATCTGTTTCACAGATTTCTAGATCCAAGTGTCTACTTTCATTTCAAACCACTCGCATCTTTGTACTCCTCAAAAAAATCTTTAGATTTTTGCCCCTTTTGACAATGATAATTCGGTAGTGCTTCACCCGTTTGAACTCAAATTTTTAGCATAGCCTAGTTAGATAGTAAGCATTCACATATGAACGTTTCATTGAGATCGATTGTAGAATAAAAAAAACCTTAAAACCGAGTTAGATCCGATCAGTCGATCATCTTGATTGACTTAGTCATGATTTGGTTAGCAAATCAGAAACTTGAACTATACATCAGCGTTAAAAAACAGATATATACTTCTGGGTCATGGGCACCATTTTTTCGTTTCCTTCTAGAAAAAAAATAATGCTATGATTATTACCATTTGTTAAAAAGGGTTGAGATAAGCTGGGAGCAAACACTGGGAGAAAATCACTACAATCAACGCAATTTCCGTCGTAGTGATTTCCTCCCAGTGTTTGCTCCTATACCCACGTCGTCTATTTTTATACAAAACCGTCGGTTAACCACGGTTCTTCAAATAACCGACAATTGACCACGGTTTTCTATAAACCGTCAATTAATCGCGGTTAACCGTCGGTGTTTTTGACACCGCGGTTTGGAAAATTAACTGCCCGCGTTATTTCGGAGAACCGACGGTTAACCGTTTCTTTCTCAATCACCGTTTTGTTTCAGACTGTATCTAAGAGTCCTAGCAAGCAAACAGGTACTGCTTAGTCGAAAACTTCACCGGTATGGTACATATGAGTACTCAGGAAATATTCATTCACCGTTTTATTTTGCTAAACTCAAACTGTATAAAGAATGT